CATACGCAAGACGCAAGATTGAAGGCAAGAGAGACAGAGGAAAGCAACTCGTAACCTAACTGGTGAGCTTCAGAGAATGGATGGCGGAGAAAGATTTGGAAGAGATGACAGACAAAGGAAGAGCTACAAAGGACAGGAAATTGTGGAGAGCCATGATCGCCAACGTCCTGAAAGGACATGGCACATAGAATAATAATAATAATAATAATCTTGGAAAGCTACAGTTCTAATCACTCGGCTACTGCTATCAAACAGATTTTCATTTCAATTTTTGATAACGAGATAATATCTACCCCATTTTAGAACCGCTTTCACACAAAGGGAACGCCGATATCCTATCAATACTCCATCGCTATTTCCATAGCAAATGTTCAGAGTAGCTTTATTCGTTAGTTCCTCCAGCTCGAACCTTTACAACTAAAACCCGCTAGGCTACGTCTACGAAGTGGAACCACCCTTACCCCCCCACTATTTCAATTTTTTCCCACTCAGACATCTTTTTGCCGAGAGATGCTACTTTGTGATTGCTTTCCAGAATACAACAACCTTAACCTCTTCAAGTCAAGAATCAATCATTATCTATCCTCCTTATCCTCATAGTCTTCACTCATCTTATATTAATATCACCCACCTCATTCTGGAATCCTCTGCATTGAGTGGTTCTTAAGTCTTGTTGTATGTGAAGTTCAGTAAAAAAAAAATAGGGAAAATTAAATTTGAATTTAAATTATGACATTCATTCACTTGTGCCTTGCATGATACACGCTTAGGCGATCATGTATCGAAAGATACATGACTGACGAGGCAGATTTGTTTCCCGCAGTAGGTTACCATTTATTACTGCGGTAGACCCGTTGCCATCCAAGACTATAGAACCCGGTCTGCCCTGCTAATTACCCATAGCTGGTGGGGGAGTAGAAGAGGATTCATAGGTTTCCCAAGGATATTCGCACGTAAATGAATTTCAGTCAGTTATGTGCCATGCGTGATACACGCTTAGTCGATCATGTATATTTCGATACATGACTGACGAGGCAGATTTTTTCCCGCATTAGGTTGCCATTTATTTCTGCGGTAGACCAGTTACCATCCAAGGCTATAGAACCCTTTCTGTCCTGCTATTTACCCATAGCTGGTGTGGGGAGAAGAAGAGGATTCATACCGTTCCCAAGGGTATTAGCACGTAAGTGAATGTAATGGATTTGACTGGAATTCGAACTCGGCTCGAATTCCAGCCGAATCCATTATTCCAAATTATGACATTATAATAGTTATAAAAAAATACAAAGTCCGGCAAAAATACCTCCCATATTTTAACTGTCATCTTTTTAATGATAGTAAACTTGGGCAAGTTACCATTTCCTCAGATACCATCGGTTATTATCGTAGCTTGGATCGGGGAAGACCGTGCGTTTGCGGTTGAAACGATTTTTTTTTTTAAACTGGTCAGTCTGTAATTGCAACACAGAGAGATTTCCATGCACATGACGTCGGAATGATGCTGTTCTGAATGGAACATCGATACTGCTAGGGGTTAGAAATTTTAGGGACAAAGCTTCAACGTTTGAAAGAAAGCCACCTGAAGACCACGAAGCGCTCAATCTTCTAGGTGATGGAAAAGGTTTAGAAATCGTCTGCAACTATGTATCGCAAACAAAGGCCACCACTTGAAGGATGTCATTTTAAAACGAAATGAATAAAAACAATATCCCTTTGTTTAAACAACAGTGAAATATATATATATATATATATATATATATATATATATATATATATATATATATATATTAAGAAATGGACAAAGTCTGACAATATATTTATTAAAGACATTTTATGTTTAACGTTCTTTTATAGATTATGCATTTACTTAAATACTTGTATCTATAAAAAGAACGTTATATAAAAATGTCTTTTAAATATATATATATATATATATATATATATATATATATATATATATATATATATATTTTTAGCATTGACCTTGGTCTTTTTGTCAACCTTTAAAACGTGGGAGGTATTTCTGTGGCACCAATGTCTAACTTTGAGAATTAGTCGGAGGTAGGTAGAATCTGTCTTTGTTTAGATTTTGGAATTCGGAAAAACTGTTTCTGGTATTTTTTTTGACAATCAGTTTCAGCTGAGGAAATGAACTGAAGGCACTTAATTTTAAAATAGTTGATACAACTTGCAGGGGAGGGGAAATGTTTCATTGTATTTGCTGCACGTGCAAGAAACTTCATGGGACATAAGTATTTTAAGTGTGTTGAATCTTGCAGAAGGCTAACCACCGTAATATAAAGAAACGCAGTGACAACCCCACCCACCACTGTGTCCATCAAAATTTCAAACATTTGCTATTCAGCACAAAAATGTCAGTTGTATACGTATGCTCCATATTGTTGTTGAGGTTGTCAATATTTTTCGACGACCTTCGAAAACATTTTATATGTGACCCCCACGACAAGACTGTGGAGTTCAGCGTACCCGGATTAAAGGAGAATTTAATACGGGTACCCTGCCCACAAAATACAACGCAAATTTCAAGAAGAAACAACACGATAAGGAACGTTTATAGAAAATAGAACATTGTATATTTATCATCTTGTGAATAGGATAAAAAAGATTAATGTTTTAATTCGTTAAAGCAAAAATGTGATTTTTATAAAAATGTCTGTGTTCGCTGTCTTTTTTTAACAGAGTAGCAGAATAATGTCTGTTTTCTTTTGTTTTGTATAGTTGTAAAAAATGAAAAAGGGGCGAAAATTTAAGTTGAAAAAGAGAGTGTGAATGAGGAATAAAGATAAAAGGAAAATGTACTTATGAATTGTTTTTGAGTCAGTTGTAAATTTGTTTTGTTGTTTTTTCCTACTCCACTTTCAAATTCCTTTTAAAATCAGTTTTGAGTCAGTGATGAAATTTACTGTCAATCTTCTGTGATCTTTTGCGACTGACTTGAAAACTCTGTATTTATTGTTGACTTTTTTTTCACACTGGCTCGTTATCTTTTTTTGGTTTAGCAAATCGCCTCCTTTCATTGGTCAGAAAATTAATTTCACACTTATTGTGAAATCTGTTTTTTGGTCGTTTTGATCCGATTTTGCGGATGTGCAAATCTACTTTGTGTTTTTTTAGTCATTTGTTGGAATATAGGATTTGTATCCTATAAGACACAGGTCACATTTAATTCATTCTAATTTTGCTGCATGTCATTACTAACAGGGATAAACCAGCAACAATGTTAATCTTTGTTTGTTCCAATCTGACCGGAAGTGATGGCTCGAACTGTTAGTCCTTTACACGAAAAAAATAAAATGGCACACTGTGGTGTCAGCAGATGGAAAGCAACTTGTTCAAAGACTAGTGAATCATTGGTACACGTCCTGTAGCCAAGACGAACAAGATGGCAAAGACTAAAAGATCCACAATCAATATTTAAAACAACACAATTACGTTTATATCAATCTGTATATTTTTTATGTATTATGAAAAAAAAAACGCAATTCGAAGAGGCGCAAACATGAATCTAATTTCAATAGGAGCTTACTATTTCATGTGGGAGCAGGTATATCATTAAATTTACATTATTTACACGCGGACAATTGTTTTCATCTTTATCATTATTATCCTCAAAGTTTCGCCTTCATCAAGTGGTATATATGATCTGGTTAACTTTCAGAGTACTTCGATTTGAATCTTTTACTGGGGTACATTGCTCTCATTCCGCTGACCATGTCCAAGGATACCTCGTCTGATTCTTATTTAGTACTGCTCTGTCGTCGCACACTTCCACGCCACTGGGATTGAACCCACAATTGCTGTCACCAAATTCACGAACCAACGATTTACGCACTAAGTTATTGCCTCATGGAAAAAATATATATATATATATATATATATATATATATATATATATATATATATATATATATATATATATATATATACGTCATTCATAGACAGATTGTTTCACTGTAACAAAAGTGTGGCTAGACATCGAATCGCTTCAACCTGGGACCGAAATCTTGGCATAAGTCGGAGATTCTAACCTCTAGGCTATCTACGCCCAGCAGGGATATATATATATATATATATATATATATATATATATATATATATATATATATATATATATATATATATATATATATATATATATATATAGTTTTAATGGTGTGCTATATGTAAATATAAATATAAAAGTGAACATTGAAGTCAACACTCAAAGGCGACAGGGTGTTTCATGCTAGAATCAATCGTCAGGCCGCAAGTGTTGGATTTTTCCTCAACTATTTATATATATGGGTCAGTGGTACATTCTGGCCTTTATTTTGGCTGGAGTGGCTTGTTTATTTATTTATTTATTTATTTGGGTTAATTTATTTTACTTGTTTTTTATTTATTTATTCTTCTCAGTTTTCTATGATTTCTTAACGTGCTTTTTATACAGACAACACACAGACACACAATATATATATATATATATATATATATATATATATATATATATATATATATATATATATTATTGATTTTAGGGAAACCCTAAAGTTTGCGTGTTCTAGGGGGATATTCTATGATCCTATACCATTGATTCGATTGTTTGTAATAATTGTCGCAAAAAATACATAGGCGAAACCTCAGGGAATCTAAATAAAAGCTTATATGAACATATAAGATGCATTTTACAAAACAATACATCAAATGCGTTTGGTTGTCCATCGTAACGAGACTGACCACAATTATGTCATAAAAATGCTACTCAGATCAAAGGTTCAAACTATTCACTATGACGAAAATGTCTAGACGGTGTGAGGCTAGTAATTTAACCCCATAAAACCCTTGCTACTGAAACCTCAACTGCGCCACCAACCAGAGTGCGTATCTGGCTTTATACTCCAAGTCACTTATTCTCCAAATAGACGGATCCTTGAAAAGCGATATCGATTGATGTGTTGTTTTACGGGTTATCAACCCTTCGCGGGTTACTTAAAGTAGCCAATATTCACAAGCGATGTCCCATCGAAGTACTGACCAGGTTCGATTTTGCTTAACTTCGGTGATCCAACAAGAACCGGTGTTTTCAGGGTAATTTAACAGTACTTTTGAAGACGGTAGTCCTCCAAAATTACTACGAGACCAGCCTACCGCAGTTGAGTCTCTTTTGTAGCATAGACTCACTATTTTAACTGTGGATGAAGCTTGAACCTCAGTATTAGAGATTTTTTACAGAAGCAACATTGATGGAATTGCTCGAATATATATATGACCAAAGATTCGGCACCATAAAGAAAGGTAGGCTCTGAAAACTCTGGGCATTGCGTCTCTCTTCTGGGTTGTTGTTGCAACGGATACCTTTTTTTATAGTCTACGAAATTGTTAATTATCCTTGGAAAAAACAACGCTAAACTCACTACCTTAAAGGCTCAAAATAAGATTAGAGATTAATAATATATTGGAATATCGGCTAAGATCAGATTTGAAGCGAAAATGGATCTTATTGTCTTGCTCACCCAGAAAGTCTGCACTTACTAGGTTTTCTTCGATTTATTACTATTATTTGTTTGTGAAAGAAACAGAAAATATTTTAATCAATGAATTAAGAATAAATTGAGTGAATGAACTATAAAGTGCCAAAAGAGTCACAGTGTTGCGCGCATTATAAGAACAGTTGTAGTCGATGGATGGCACACAAGTCGATATCTGATCAGTACCTCATCCTGGGTATGACGATAAACTGCATCCGCATCCTGGGTAAGACGATAAACTACGTCCGACAGCAAGGCATTTGATCAGGAGGTTTTGAGGAGCGTGGAGCAATCTCTTAATTGCTGCTGTCCCCAGGTCCACCCTGACCCCGGGTGGTAGCACCTGTTATGGACAAATAGTTAACACGTTTGTAAGATGTCACCATTTTTGTACAAGAACGCACAACTGTAAAATTTAAAATCAAACTCAGCGTTGCTACTGCACGCTCCAAAAACAATAACTCATTTCCAATAGCATTTTTCGGATACAACAATACTTATATTTTCGTTGTCCTCTTATTACTGAGAGAAAAAACAAGAACAACATCTATTCCATACATGAAGATGTCTGTAGGAACAGACGAAAGCTTGTAGTAAAAATAAGAACTAATGCAGCAGAAATTTATAAAAACAATGATCTTTTCATTCATAACAGGTTCGGGGCTTTTTGTATATTATTTGAATTGTTTGCGACGATGGTTTCTCGCCAATTAAATCATTAACCTTGCATTTGTTTTTTGTATGAATAATTCATGAATTTGTAAATTGATTGCACGTTTATCGAAATATATATATATATATATATATATATATATATATATATATATATATATATATATATATATGTATGTGTGTGTGTATGTGTGTGTGTGTATGTGTGATTTTGGCATTCTTCCTCACGCTGCTAAAGCATAGCTTTTCCTGAGATTAAGAACTGGTGGTTTCACGGTTTCACGAAAGAATTTCACAAATTTGAAAACGCTCCTTTTTTTAACATATGAAATCCGGAATCTCAGAAAGACAAATTTGGGCGCGCAGTTGTCAAAAAGGAATTATCACTATCCAGTTTTGGAATTCGGAACTTTACGCTGCAGTAATTTTCATTCCCCCCCACTTTTTGTCTCGATTTCTGAAATATAATCTCAACGAATTTAGCCGTTTCGTGGTTGCTGCGGTCTGCAGGAAATATACTTTCTTCGCTAGAACAATAACTTTCTTGCCTACGTGTGCGGAACCAGGTGTGTGCTTTTGTGCAGGAAATATTTCATGCTATGTATGCAGATTTAACGAGAAAGACCAACAAAAAAAGAAGAAAAAGTATATATATATATATATATATATATATGAAGTTTCTTTTTTTTCTGCTTATCAAGCAGTATCAGAAAGTTCCGGGACTGCACGATCTGAGATTGTAGCATTGAACGGAAATGCGCGTGCAACTAAAGCCCGTTCGTGCGCAGCCTGTCGAGTCAGGCTATGAACAGAGTTCGTGATATCAAATTATGTTCAGTTAATACGCGAGGTTTTGTTTGGATTTTTTTAAAAATATTGTTCTACTTAAATTTAGTGGTCCGCACGTAAAAAAATAAAAATAGGGACAAATTTGGTGTTGAATACTTTTTGAAGATTAGTATACATGAAACTTTTCTCTACACTCATTTGTCGGCATTGAAATATACTGTTTTTTTAAGTCATTTTATAAGGGGCCCTGTTCATAATATAAATGCAGTATCAAATCTATCCTTAATTTTTTACAGAGTTATCTGTACTTACGTACTTACCAATGTGAAGTCTGAGACTGTAATTACGCCATTGATAACTGCATAATAGTACGAAGTACTTTACCTGGGTTTACTGTCCGGTCCCTGAGGGGGTTCCCAAAAGTGGAATTCACAATTTGTCTTCGTAGTATTTGTTTCTCTGTTTATTTTGTCCAAGCATGCCAAGTAGATTACTCTCTGCTTTTCTCTGCTTCTTTTCACTTCAAAGCACCCTGTGATTGTTAAATTCTCCAAGCTTTCCATCCTTATAACAGGTCCTCAAAATTTCCTTTATAGTGCCTATTATCATTTAAACTTCCTCATTTGTCACATTCTCTAGCCGTAGTATTCTAAATATTCATCAATGGAATCACATCCCTGTCGCTTCAAGTATTTTCATCCTTTTTTGACGAAATGGCACAGCATTTACTGCATTATAGAAGATAAGACAATGTGTAACAGTCCAGTACCTTTTTTTCTGATGTTATTTTTCGATCTCGAAAAGACGGAAATTTTTTAATAATTTCAAATGATTCAATCCCGAACAGTAGGACAAATGAAATGTTATGCCCATTAAAATAGTTATGCCTATTAAAATGTTATGCTTATTAAAATGTTATGTCTATTAAAATAGTTATGCCTATTAAAATGTTATGCCTATTAAAATGTTATGCCTATTAAAATAGTTATTGACATGTTGGAATGTAAAATCTTGGCCATCAGAGAATTAATAACGAAAATTTTAGTAATAATCAATATTTGCTCAATATCAATATGTATAAAATTAATATATAACCCCACAAATCAGGCCCTACCCACATTTACCCACACAAGACAGACATCCTTGCGGAGGTGTTGAGGCCTCACATTTATTCACACACCCATATTAATATACACACTTACACAAATCATACTCACTCACTCCGAAAGGAGCTAAATGATAACACACACCCATAATAATATACACACTTACGCACATCATACTCATCCACTCCCTAATGAGCTAAATGATAACACACACTCAACACAGACACATTGCCTTTCCAGGAACCAATAAAACTGTCAAAATGACCAAGGAAATTCAGAACAGCATGAATCCATCCAGCTCTTAAATAACAACTTAAAAGAGACTGTTTGACCAACACAAGGACTGACCACATTTCGTGTTAAAAAATTAAAAAAACAAATGAAAACTACAGACAAAAGTTCATTTTCTCCATCAAGATATTCATTTCTGTAGTTCACTGCTACTAACAAGCAGAATTCTTTTTCTCCGGAGGAATCTAATTGAAATAATAATAAAAACGAAAGAATATTAATATACAACCTAGTCAGTCTGAAGATTTTAATTTTTTAATATTTTTAATGTTCAAAACATTATATATATATATATATATATATATGAAGAAAAATATACGGAAAAAACCAACAAAATCATAATATGCAATTATGCTGTTTTAATGTTAATATAATGTCAACGTCGAATGTTTCGGTTTAATAGACCATCTTCAGGACATATTCATAAAACATAATTAACATTAGACCATATTCAATTAAACATGAAAAAGACGATGGACATAGGAGCAAGACCAATCAAAACAGATAACTGAAATCTTTTATAAGATCAGTGTTCCGTTTAAATATGATCACGTCGTCGTCACGTGGGCGATGTTGTGAAAACGTATTCCTAAAATTTGATTATTTTGAATGAAAAACGAAAAGAATTTTATTTTGATCTAAAACTTATATGTACGTTTGTCGAGCATTAATCTTACTAGAAAAGAGGAAATAATTGCATATTAGGATTTTTGTTTGTTTTTTCCGTATATTTTTCTTCATACTAACGGATCTATATCCATATATTTGCTTACACACACACACACACACACACACACACACATATATATATATATATATATATATATATATATATATATACCCTACAGGGTGATTGGCAGTTTCACATCTCAAGAGAACTATAGAAAATGCAGTGTTGATTTTTATGTTCACACTATCTCTACAGAATTTCGATATTGAGTATTCTTACTGACAACTAGGGAACACTTTAAACGTATGTATTTACAGCAACACATACACACACGCGCTCGAACGCACATACGCACGCAAACACGCACAAGTTAGAGATGTAGTTTCAAGAAATCATTTTTTTCAACTCTTAAACTTTACATTCTGAAGAAAAAGACAAAAAAAAACAATTCCGTTTTTCTCTTCGCAGCTGCGATCGAAAAAACTCCGAAAGAAATACTCGAATCGGGTCTTTATTTCGTTTTACTTTTTAAAAATAAAACTGGGCTTAAAAATAACAAAAGAGACAATATGCAGCCAAGAATTGTTATATCGTTCCCTGCAACCATCTTTGGAGGCAGGGAATTTAAAAAAAAAACAAAAAAACAAAATGCTTAAGGCAATGAGACTTAGCTTATACTTAAGTCATCTCTGCAGATGTTTCGTTTTTAACACGCAATAAAGCATCATGACAACGACGGGTGTTAACACAAGACATTTCTTTAAATTTACATTCTTGCCAGACGAAGATAAGGAATTTTTCTTTATTTTCGACGCCGGGCGATTAAAAAGAAGGATAATTACAGCCAGCGTGGCCGAGAACTTTTGTGTCCCCGAGTCTTTTATGTGCATGCATTTTTGAATAGTATTTTTTTATGTCTGTATGTCACGTTCACATACGTAAACAAGTCAATGCGTAAGTTAAGAACCTTTCCTAGAGAGCGTTGTCACTGCACATAATCCAAAACATCGACATAAATTAGATAGATTAAAAAT